GTTTGTTTGTTTGTTTAAGGAGACAACTTGATTGCCTAGGACTCTCTTTGTTGCTGGTAGTTGAACTCAGGACCTCTGGAAGAGCAGCCAGTGTTCCTCTGAGCCATCTCTCCAGCCCCTAGGACGTTGTTAAGCAAGCAAGACAAACCAGTTGGATACTTACCTATTTTCCCTAATACATGCAAATTAATAATTACCATGCACCAGTACCTAGTGGCAGTTGAGCTAGGAGCATGTCTTTCTTCTGTGAAACCTTGTTCTCCATATTTCCATTTTTCTTTTCTCGTGAAAGGTTGTCTAGGGAATGTTTTGGGTCAATTTATGTGCTGCCTTCACCCCCAGATATCTTCTCCTACTGGGTCTTGGGGTGTCCTGCACAGCTCAGACACCGGGCAACAAGTCCTCAGTTGTGTCTTCCAGGGCAAGCCAGGACAGACGCTTCTGACCCGGGGATGGGCATGTTGCGCTGAGACTGTTGTACATCCTGGGGGGTCCTTCCTGACTCTGGCCCTCTCGTGGGTGGGAGGGAACAAATGACTCTTGTTTTGGTGTCTTTTTATCACCAGGCACCCATAAGCTAAAGGCTTGCCAAGGTCACAGGAAAGCAGAAGGAAGAACAGAACTAACTATGTATGGATCTGAGGAGGAATGTCAGGTGACTAAGGCCGTATGATAATAAATGAAAATATCTCAAAGACAATAGAAACCAAGACTACTAAAACAAAAACCAAAATGCCTTCAAAGTTCCAAAAGCGAAGGGAAATTTTGAAAACAAGCTAATCAGCCAGAATCTAAACTGCCTTTTGAGAGCTGAAGGCAAGCAACAAGCCAAACAACCCAGACAGGAATGCTTTAAAAAAAAAAAAAAAAAAAAAAAAACTAGACAACTACACCAAGTTCTTTGAAAGCAGACCCAAAAAAAACTTATCTACCAAAGTAGGAACTTTCTTATCCAGCTCAGAGTAAGTTCTGGAATCACTTTGAGTGACCTTGACCTGGAAACACAGACTTGGGTAACCCCAAATTCCATGTTTCAACATGGAAGCAGCATCATGGAGTTTGTATAGTTTTTGTTTGTTTGTTTGTTTGTTTGTTTTTGAGACAGAGTTTCCCTGTATTGTTTTGGAGCCTGTCCTGGAACTCGCTCTGTAGACCAGGCTGGACTTGAACTAAAAGAGATCCGCCTGTCTCTGCCTCCCGAGTGCTGGGATTAAAGGCATTCACCCAGCTGTGAAGTTTGTATAGTTTTAAAGAACAGAGACCGTCATCCATTAAGGCAAATTTAAAATGCATTGGAAGGTACTTCAGGGAGGCAGGTACAGGCGAGATGGCGGGAACTATTCCATAGGCCTAAAACGCTATCCGATGACATCCTTGGCTTTTGGATTGGTAGGAGCTAGTAAACCTGCTAAGTCAGAAATCGGGTTTGTATCTGTTGTCACAAGATGTTGATTCTGATAAACATGATAAGGGAGTTTGCCTTCAAACTGGCAACATTCCAACTTCTCCGCTGTCCTGAGGACTGTCCTGAGGTTCTAACCAGCTCACCAGTCTTCTCAGACACGGCTCCTGGGGAGAGTTTTCCTTCACAGACAGGTGCAAGCAGCTCCTTAGGAGGCTGTGTTCATAGCTGGGGTCACGTTCTTGTCTGACTGAGTGCCAGAACATGTAGCTTATTTTAGAGAAGGCCAAGCAAGTTGCAGCTGTCCCCTGCATCCCTAGCCTAGGGAGGGCTGCACACTGAAGGCCCACTTGGGTGGATCTGGTTTATGGTTTGGGGGATGGTAGAGCCTACAGGCAGCAAACTTATGACTGAGAATTGTTTTCTTTGCTTGTTTTTTCAAGACAGGGTTTCTCTGTGTAGCCCTGGCTATTCTGGAACTCACACTGTAGACCAGGCTGGCCTCAAACTCACAGAGATCTTTGCCTCTGCCTCCCAAGTGCTGGGATTAAAGGCATGTGCCACCACACTCAGCAACAACTGAGGTTTTTATTTAGTGTTATTTTTTCTGGTGCTGGGGAAAGAATCCAGGAGCCTCAGTAATACTAAGAAAATGCTCTGATACGGAGCCACAGCCCTGGCCTTTGCCTGAGGGCTGTTCTTTTTGTTTGCTGGTGTGTGTGTACAAGTGTGTATAATGTATGTGTGCAGTGTGTGCACATGTGATGTGTAAAGAGGTGCACATGTCTATGTCTAATAGGTAGAGGCCAAAGAAGGACATCTGGTGTCCTGCTTCATTCCCTGGAGACAGCATCTCTCATCGAACCCAGAGCTAGGCTGATGGCCTGCAGCCCAGTGCCCCTCCTGCCTTGGCTCTGCATAGTACTGGTGCGGCTTAGGTTTACTGGCCTATACATGGGAGCTGTGGATTTGAACTCCAGATTCTTGTGATGCTTAGCAAGCTCTCTGAGCTTTGTGTAGTCCAGATTAGCCTTGAACCTCTGATCCTCCTGCCTCTACCTCTGGAGTGCTGAGATTATAAGCGTGTGCCACCTGGCCCTGGTTTGAGTGGTGTGTGTGTGTGTGTGTGTGTGTGTGTGTGTGTGTGTGTGTGTGTGTACAAGAGTGCTTGCATACACTCAAAGACCATGGCACAAACATGGAGATCAGAGGAGCCAGGTCATAATTGAGCTTTGTGACAAGTTGGTTATCTGAAGCAGATCCCTACAAGTTGAACAGAAAGCTGACTACTTGCCCAGCTCCCCACCCTGCAGCCACAGATAAAACATGCTCAGGACAAGCAGATGACGCCATGCCCAGTTCCCTGGGAGAGCTCCATCTCCATCAAGTGCTGCTAAGCCTGGTGTGGTGACCTTGTGCTTTGGGAACTCAAATGTCAGCTTATTGAGCATATCTCTTTAGTTCCTATTGTAAATCAGCAAGAAGCCACCCACTGTTCCAGCAGCAAGGACCCCTTCCTGCCAATCCAGCTAGGTAGGAACCATTAGCCCTGTTCTGAGGAGGGGAAACTGAGGCTCCGGGGTTCTTAGTAAGGGGGAGCTACTGCATGGCAAGTTCTCTGTAATTGTGTCTTGTAGGCATAAATATTTTACTGCTTTAATCCTTTTTACAGTTGTTCTATTGTTTGTGTGTGTACTCACAGTCAGAGGACAACCTGCCTCAGTTACTTCTCTCCTTCTACCATATGGCAGGCACCTTTTCCTACTGAGCCATCTCTCCAGCCTTTATTTTTGAGACAGGGTTTAATATATCTCAGAATGGTCTCAAATTATCTAAGTAGCTGAGGATGATCTGGTGTCTACCTTTCCAGTGCTGGGTGCATGAGCACACAGGACACATCTGGTTTCTGTGGTACTGGAGATCAAAGCCATCACACCATCCATGCTAGACAAACACTACCAACTGAGCCACATCACCAGTCAAGACTCTTTTTAGATCCAGCAGCCACTATGATGGAGTGGTTAGTGGCAGTGATAATCTGCATTTTGTAGCTAGGGAAACCGGGTCAAAGAGGGAAAACACATCTCCAGGCACATCACTACCCTGAAGGCTGGCTAAGTTTACCAGCTGAGTGTGGTTCAGACTGTTTGCCCCTAGATCTCTGTTCCTTTGAGGCATTGGCCAGGCTGACCTGGATGTTCCTCTGGGGCTATTAGCATTAGGTTACTGTCCCTTAGGTTTTAGTTGATTGCAGAAAGGAGTGAGCCAGTCATACTCCAAAGTGCCAGAGAAAGGGACAATCACCAAGGATGAGATGCAGCCAGCAAGGGGCTCAAGAGTCTTTGCGGGTAAAAGATCTCCCAGATTAGGGGGACTCCAAGGAAGACATCAGAATGATGTGTCCAGCTCCCAGAGCTGTGGAGGCGACTTCACACAGAGTTAATGGAGATGAAACAAAACCCTTGAACTTAGAAGCAGTGGCTGGGGCCGAGCATGTGTAGGTCTGTCACCATAGCGCTGGACAGGTGGAGGCAGAAGGGTAGGGAATTCAAGACCGAACTTGGCTAAGTAGTGAGTTTGAGCCCAATTTTTTGGATGCTGTCAGAAAAGAGATGAGGAATGGGAAAGATAGAGAGGGTCAAAGGAAGGTAGATGGCTCAGTCCATAGAGCAGAAAGTCTTGGGATCTCATCCCCAGAACTCATAAAAAGCCAGTCATTTTCTCATTGCAGAGACAGGTGGGTGCCTGGAGTTCACTGGCCTGCTTGTCTAGCATAAGGATAAAGCCTGTGAGCCACATGCCTCAAAAAGTAACTTGGGGTGAGATGTGGTGGTGCTCACCTTTAATCCTAGCACTCTGGAGGTAGAGGCAGGAGGATCTCTGTGAGTTTAAGGCCAGCTAGGGCCAACAAGACCAGAATTCTATCCCTGGGACTCATAAGGCAGAGCAGAGCCAACTCTAGCATGGTGTCCTCTGATCTTCACACAGGTGCTGTGGCACACACACACAATAAATAAATAGATAATTGGGAAAATCAGGTACACAAATGTGTACCCATATGCACATGTATACACCCAAATGAACCGAACCCCCCCCCATACACACAGAGTCTGTGTTCCTGCTAAGAGTCTCATCATTTAGCTTGCAGAGGCAGCCTGCCTCTGCCTCTGCCTCTGTGACTGAGTGTCTAGCATCACAGAGAGTGTGTTAGCACAGATGGCCTGATTCTCATGCCTTCTACCTGCCTTCCCTCTTTGGAAGGTGGGCATGGGTCCGTGGTAAGTTCCGCAGACCAAGGTAGGTCTCCTGCAGTTAAGATGAGAAACAGATTATTATGTCTGAGGCTTTGCTAGGGAACAATAGTCCAGAGCCAAGGATGGCATGGGATACCTTCATGTCTCTGCTCCCCATACTTGGAGCAGAACTCCATGTTTCCTTCTTTCCTGGAGCAGGGGGCCTGCTGTGGGTTGATCAGGGTGGGCGGGGAGTGGGCGGGGGCGACTGGAGTCCGCCTACTGAAGGTTTGGCCCGGCTCCTCCTCCTCTCCACAGGCAGTCTTTGGGACAGTTTCACCCTCAATCCCTGTGTCCCAGAGCTGGAACACAGGCCATCTAGCCGAGAGATGCCTTCTATGGGTCTGGTGATGGAGAACAGCCAGGTGCTCCCGGCCTTCCTGCTCTGTAGCACACTGCTGGTCATCAAGATGTACGCTGTGGCTGTCTTCACAGGCTACACCAGGCTTCGGAAGAAGGTAACATGAGCTGGGGTGTGCGTGAGGGGGGAATTAGCACTCTGCTGGGTTGCCCCTGTAAGAAAGTCTGGGAACTGAATAACGTGGCTGAGGTGTGCCTGTCAGGGTGCAGACGAAGTTGCTTAAAAGCTGCCGCCTCAGCCCGTCTGGGAGTTGGCGTGGGCTCCAGCTCCTGACCCCGAGTATGAGAATACTCGGGTTTCCCTCTCTGAGCGCCAGGTAAAGCGACTACACCAGGAAACGCATGTGGAGCACATAGACTCTTACAGAGTTCTCCTGACCTGGCGGTTTCCCAGGAGGCAGGGAGATTTCCTATCTGGGTGGAGTGGAAACCGGCAAAGCAGGAGCACAAGAAGTCTTTCCGTGGAAATTCCCACTCCTCATAGAGACTCACGGCAGCCTCCGAGGTTTGGTCCTAGCCAAAAGGGTCACAGATGACACTCTGTGATCCCAGTCCTGGCAAGGAAACAGCAGTAAAAGAGCCCACACGAGCCGGTGGGAGTGACCAGGACTTCCTGACCTATTCCTTGGCGTTGGATGGAACCCTGGAAGCTGCTGGAAAGCAGACCCACACGAAGTATCTGTTGCTTACAGGCAGTTTTTCAAAACCAGCCTTTGTCTAGTCCAAAGGCGGGGAGGGGGGTGAACGAGGGAATGCGGGTGGGGTCCGCGGGTGGGACTCTTGCCCTCCAGCCGGGTTCAGCCCCTGGGACAGGGTTTGCAGGAATAAAGGCAAGGCAACCATTTACTGGCTGCCTCTGCTTTCCGTTTGGTCTGTCCTGGGATATAGGACACAGATGCCAGGCTATATTCTGCCCGTGTCCCCTCTGCGGGGGCCCAAAGCTGAGCATTAAATTACCAGCAGAGCCTGGGGGAGGGGGCGGTAGGAGTTAGGTTCTCTCGGTTTTTCCAGTGAGAATCCTGGGCTGAGAAGATGCTGGTTTCCTGTGGCTCCTGCCATCCCCGTTGGAGCACAGTGTCTGGCTTCTGAACCTCCCTTCCTCCTGGTCTCCATTTCCGGGACTTCAGGGACTGAGGGAGGCCTCCCCAGTTTTGGGTCCTGGATCTCCTGGGCGCCTCGTTCTGCTAAGAGGGACCAGAGTGTCACTTTCTGCCTAGGGGATGGGCACAGGCTCACCATCCTTGTCCCACTGGCCTGCGGACCTGGGCCTTGAGAGTTTAGGGTTCCCATCTGCAAACCTAGAGATTTGAATGACCAACATGTCACCCACTCTCACAGCTGGGCTGTGGTGGCCCATGACTTTAATCCCAGAACTCCGGAGTCAGAAGCAGGATCTCTGTGAGTTCGAGGCCAGTCTGGTCTACAGAGGGAGTTTCAGAACTGGCTCCAAAGCTGTCTCGAAACCGACCCCCCCCAAAAAAAAAGTACTCCTTCCTACTGGAATCTGATATGAACAGCAGTAGCCACAGGTCCTTTCTGGGTGTGCATGCTGAGTGGCCCTGGGCGTACTAGAGGTGGCTCCCTGATATCTAACTATAGGAGCTCTATTGGTGACAAAGCTGGGCCCTCAGAATTGGGGACTTGGGAGCCAGCAGGGAGGAATTCTGGGAGTTCCTGGCCTTATTCTGTCATTTTACATTTTCCTCAGGGCAGGAGCAGGCCCAGCTGGGGCTCCAGGAACAGACCATCTGGAAGTCCCTTGTTCACTTCATGGTTTAGAAAGGTTGATTCAGGCATCACCTAAGTGGATGGGGGAGGTTTTGCCTGGGATGCAGCAGGGAATAGCTTCGAGTGAGTCATGAGCCTAGGCCCCCAAAGGCAAAAGTATGACCTCTACACTCTTTCCCAGGATGGAAACTGACAGTCTGCCAGCGCCCTCCCAAGGCTGTCCCTGCACTTCCACAGATGCCCAGGTGTTCCATTTCATCCCGCGTTCACAGATGAGAAGTTCAGGCGGCAGGAAACTGCAGAGCCTGGTGGTCAGAGAGGGGCTGAGTGTCTAACCAGACTCTTGAGTGTCTCTAATGGCTTCTACTTAGCTTGTTTGTTTTTAATCTTTTGAGACAGAGCCTTACTTCTGAGACAGGGTCTTACTATTTAGACCAGGCTACCCTTGAACTTACAGAGATCTGCCTACCTCTGTCTCCAGAGTGCTGAGATTAAAGGTGTGTGCCACACACTCTGCTAAATATCTTGTTTTATTTTACTTTTTGATGTTCTTGGACTAGAACCTAGGGACACATGCATGCTAGGCAAACACAGGACCATGGATACATCCCCTCATCCCCTCGTGAGTGCAGTAGGCTAGCTAGTCACACTTACTCCAGTCTAATGATCTCTCTCAACGTATGAACCCAACAGACGGGCAGGGGGCACTTTGGCCACCTTGAGCTCCAGTACATAGCTCAGAGAAGAGGCTCAGGGGAGCAGGTTGAATGGTCTGTAGGTCATGTAAGTGACTCTACTGTTTGCCTAGCCCTTGAGGAGGTCAGGCAAGGACCTCCTCAGGGATGGTGACCCTCAGCCAATGTGTTTCAGGCTTTTGCCAACCCAGAGGATGCACTGAAACATGGAGGCCTCCAGTACCACAGAAGTGATCCAGATGTGGAGCGCTGCCTCAGGTGAGTACCTGTGAGTGTCCAGGACTTGGCCACAGACCTGGCTGCTACCTGTCCTTACTGAGTTTCTAAACTAGGGACTTGAGTGTCACCTGTGTGTCCAAGGGCATCCATGGGCAGGATTCCTCTCAGACAATTACAGTTTTCGCATTACATTTGTATTAGAATAGAAATTTCTCATGATCCAGAATTAGAGTGGATCAAGGTTGAAGGTGTAGGTCTCAGATGCCAACACTTGGGGGTTGGTGGGAGGGGGAAGCAGGAAGTTCCAGACCAACCACAGAATGAGACCATTTAAAGAAAACAAACCCAGAAAAGAAAGTACAAGTGGGATATAGTGGCTCGAGGCACAGGCAGGAGTATCAGGGGTTCAAGACCACATCTGCTAGTAGGGAACATCCCTACAAGTGCATCTCTGACCTCTACTTGTCTCAGTACATGTGAGTGCTCCCTTTCTCTCTCTCCCCCTTTCTCTAAATGTAAAAATTATTTTAAAAATGAGTCTTAAGGCTAGGTATAGTGATGCACAACCATGATGCCAATGTTTTGGAGGCTGAGACAGGAGGATTGTCTTGGTTTCTAGGCTGGTATGGGCTATGGGTAAAGCTCAGTCTCAAAAAGCAAAACAATCTGGGTGGTGGTGGCACAGGCCTTTAATCCCAGCATTTGGAAGGCAGAGGCAGGAAGATCTCTAAGTTCAAGGCCAGGCTGGTCTATAGAGCAAGTTCCAGGTCAGCCAGGGCTACACAGAGAGGCCTTGTCTCAAAAAGAAAGAAGGGGGGGGGGGGAAGAAAGAAAGAAAAAGCAAACAAAAATGTCTTGGTTGTATAAACATCTTCTGGAGGCTAAAAGTCAATTTTTAGTAGCCAGCTCAGTATTGGAGTTTGGGGGACATTTCTTTCCTGTCTCATCAGTCATCCAGAATGGGGGGTGGGGGGCACTGGGGTGTTGGGAACCAGGAAGATGGCAGCTGGACCTGGTGAGACATGAAACAAACCTCCATGAACAGCTCCCAACATAGCCCCTTACATCACAGAGATGAGTGGGACGGGGTCACCAGAGAATTCCCCTCTGCAAACAAGATTGGGAAGGGGTTCTTTGTGGTTTTCTTAGCCGTTGACAGTAATGTACACACTTGTGGTTTTAAAAAATGACAACAATGTGTCAGAGGAAGTGAGGAACTGAGACTCCGGGCCACCCTATCCTTTCCAACAGAATGAAATACAGGCTAGTTTGTATGTGTTTCATCAGGCCATTCCATTTGTTGTTTAATGAGCACCTACTATGTGGCAGGCATTGGCTGGTGCCATGAACAAACAGCCTTGCACAACCATGACCACCCCATATTGGTGACTCTTGGTTGTCTAGGCCATTCTGAGCCACTGAGAGGGAAAGGCTAAGTGGCTCAGGCTATCATCCCAGCCAGGGGTAGTGTTTTGTCGTCTACTAAAGGCATAGTCTTATTCAAGGAGGACAAAAGAAATATAAAGAACACTGGAATCCCACCTACCCAGTAGGATTCCCCTTCTTTTTAAATGTTTGCTTTATTTTTATTTTACTTTGTGTATATGAATGTTTTTCCTGCATGCAGTTATCTGTACTACATATGTGCCTATTGGATCTCTTGGAAATGGAGTTACAGATAGTTGTAAGCCTCCAAAGGGTGCTGGGAATTGATCCCAGTGGGCCTTCAAGATAAATAAATGTGCCTAACCCCTGAGCCATTTCTCCAGCTGGCTTTTATTTCGTGTCCTCTCGAGTACTGAAGCTTAAGTGGTTGGTATTGGGTCTAGCATTTTCTGAATATTCCTACCTAACAATGCTGTAGAGCTTCATTCAGGACTCACTAGGTTCTTGGGCTGTGGGGCTCAACACCTGAGTAGCAGGGAAGCCTCCTGACTCCACAGAACCTCAGACAGTTGAGGGTTGGAGGTGAAGCTCAGGGTGGTAGAGTGCTTACATAAAATAGAGTTGGAGGCTATCCTGGGCTACACGAGACTCTGTCTTACTAAAAAACGGAAGGAAGGAAGCCAGCCACTTGTGGTAGCACATCCTTTTAATTCCAGCAGGTGGGAAGCAGAGTCAGGAGGATGTCTGTGAGTTTGAGTTCAGTGTGATCTACGCAGTGACCCAAGCCAACCAGAGCTGTGCAGTGAGACCCTGTCTCAAAAGAGAGTCAGCTGAAGGTGCAGAACTCACACTGGCTGTCCACTAGGAACTGGAGGGGGGGAGAGAGCAGTTAAATATTAGAACCAGGGCAGGTACCTCCAGGCCATACTGCTATGTACCAGGAAGCACAAAGCCTGGGTCCAGGGTCATAAATCTGCCTTGCAGATTAGCGCATGCTGGAGGCAAGGCAGGTTGGGTTCTGGGGCAATCAGGGACCAGGTTTAAAGAATGGAACCCAGGTGACTGGAGAGATGGCTCAGTGTTTAAGAGCACTTGCTGCTCTTGGAGAGGACTCTGGTTCGATTCCCAGGACTCACAGGTGCCCTTTTCTGGCCTTCTCAGGCATTAGGCACACATGTGCACATACATACATGTAGTCAAAAGTACTCATACAGAAAGTAAAACAGATAACTTTAACTTTTTTGATTTTGTTTTTTCAAGATAGGTTCTCACTATATAGCTCTGGCTGTCCTGGAATTCACTATGTATGTAGACCAGGCTGCTTCAGACTTACAGATTCAACCCACCTCTACCTTCTGAGCATTGGGTTTAAGGCATACATATGTCACCACACTTAGCCAAAAACCATTTTTAACATTAAAATAAAGAAGAAGAAGAATGAAACTTAGGCCACCTGGAGTGGCCTCACCTGGAATTCTAGCAGGTGGAGGCAGCAGGACCAGGAGTTTGAAGCCAGCTTTAGCTGCACAATATAACATCAGAGGCTTGCACAGACTACATGAAATGGAAGGAGGGTAGCTCTGCGGAGCGAAGGAAGCCCAGAGTGAAAGTGTAAGCAGCAGATGAAATCCTGAGTTAGTGGGTGCTGTTGACATGGGCATAGCCACGCTAAAGGCTTAAGCCTCAGACCCATAAGGATGGCAAAGCCTTCCTCTGGTCCCAGTGTGAATGTATATAAACTGGCAACTGCAGCCTCCTGCGGGATGTTACAGCCTGAGACCGCTTTCCTACACAGACCTCCTGCCCCCATCCCCCAGTTCTGTACATAATAAATGTCCGGTAGCGAGCGAGTAGTCCTCTGACCCCAGCTTTTCTGTATGTGTGAGCCTTGTAGAGAGCCAGTGGCTTTTCTGTGTCTGTTCTTCCCTTCCTTCCCTCCCTGCCCCAGCCTTACTGGACGGGTACCCAGCCACATTCTACCCCCAGGACACCTGCCTGTGCTTGCAGACAGGAATGTATTCACCTGCAGTTCTGTATAAATCCCATGGACTGTTGCCAAGGAGAACACCCGACCCAAGCTTCCTCTTGGGTTTTTAACCCGAGGAAAGCAGTTTGCCAGGTGATTTGGCTCCCAGGTGCAAACTTCCTATGTTCTGCGAATGACATCCTACCTGTCCATTTATCAATAGTGGACACGGGCTCAGAGAGGAAGGGACAGCTGCCTGTGGTCTCAGCTCCTTGGTGGCCTCTGGTGGAACCCTCACTTCTCACTAGGGTCAGAGAGGGCTTGTGACAGGTTGTCAGCTAAAGGAGAATGAGGGGCAATCGTAGCTATGCCCAGGACAGAACTGGTGATTTGGGGGGGGGTGGCCATGGTGGCCTTCCTATCTGCCTTTCCTTATTTTCTGGGTACCAACATCCACAGCACTCCAACACCCTGAGTGGCATTATCTATAGAGATAGAAGCGGTGTGTCAAGGTCTGGCCCTGAAGCTGTACCCCATCTAGCAGGAGGCAAAGCCTAAGCCCCACCCCTTACTGATTTTCCTCATCACATCCGCCTTTGGCACCAAGCAGTCGTCCCGTTGCACCATGTGTGGGTGGTGAGCTGGAGGAGAGGGAACATGTTGCCGCCAGCTGCTGTCATTGCCTTGACCTGGGGTCACCAGAGGTCCCTCTCCTCACTGCAGTCTCTTGCTGCAGTAAAACAACTCTGTTTCAACCTGTGTTGAGGGAGTGGGGTAGGCTCAATGCTGCAGGGGGCTGTGCAAGTCTCGTCTGGCGGGAACTGGCTTTGGGTGACGTTTGCCACAGAATACTGGCTATTATTGGAGTGACACATTTCTCCCTGTCTGCCAGTACGTGACTCCCTCCAAGTCCCTATTTGGATACTGTAGCAGGGGAAGAGAGGTGAGCTTTATTTCACTTTTTTTAACATCCTGATTTCCCCATTCCTCCCTGCCCCAGGACGGCCCTGGCTTTGTGGGGCCCCATTGTGGTTTCAAACAGATGAGGGAGGTAGGCCCTGGATTGGAACTCTATCTGCTCCCAGCCACCTCTTCCCACGTGGGCCACCCCTTTGCTGCCTGGTGGGGAATCAGGGATGTGTGTTTTCTCTGCAAGGTCCACCTCTCCAACCAGGGGCCTGCCACAGACCAGGGACCACTCCTCCTATCCGTATGTCCCAATCTTCCTTTCCTCCTCATCAGGTTTGGTCACATTTGTTCTCAATATGGCTTTGTTTTGTTTTGTTATTGAGATAGAGTCTCATGTAGCCCAGGATGGCCTCTAACTCTCTATGTAGATGAAGATAACCTTGAACTTATGATCCTCCGGTTTCTTCCTCTCCAGTGCTAGAATTAGACGCATGTGCCACCACCTCTGGTTTCTGTGCTACTGGGGCTGAACCCAGGACCTTTTAATTGCTAGTCAAGTGTTATACCAGCTAAGCCATATTCCTAGATTTAAAAAAAAAAAAAAAATTATCTTTTTTGGGTGTTTTGCGTTATATACATGCAGTGGCCGTAGCAGCCAGAAGAGGGCATCAGATCCCCTGGAACTGGTGTTACTGACAGTTATGAGCCACCATGTGTGTCCTCTGCAAGAGCAGCCAGTGCTCCCAATTGCTAAGTCATCCTCCAACACCTTGCTTTTATTTTCAGGACAGGGCCTTTTGTATCTCCATGCTGGCTTTGAATTCCTGATACACGGTAATTCTCCTGCCTCAGGCTTCCAAGTGTAAGCTAGCACACCTGGCCCCTGACTCTCACTCTTTTTTGGGGGTGGGGGGTCTCAAGGCAGGATGTCTGTCTGTGTAGCCCTGGCTGTCCTGGAACTTGCTCTGTAGACCAGGCTGCCCTTCAGCTCACAGAGATCCACCTGCCTCTGCCTTCCCAAGTGCTGGAATTAAAGGTGTGTGCCGCCACCACCACCTGGCCCTGACTGTCACTCTTAACACACCAACTCCCCTTGGTGCAGGTATGCTTGCATACATGTGTGAGCCCAGGAGCCAACCTTGGCTGCTGTTTCTCAGGTGCTGTCTCACTGGTTTTTTGAGACGACTTCCGAACTTGGAACTAGGACAGCACAGAACCTCCTGTCTCCATTCCCCTGAGTTGGAATTACACACGGGTACAAGAGCACATAGCTTTTTCATGTGGCTTCTGGGGTTTGAATTTAGTTCTTCATGTTTACACAACCAACACTTTACAGATGGAGCCATCTCCCCAGCCTCAGCTCCCACATATTAAGGAGCAGATTATCTGGCAACTGAGCCCCTTCCCTCAGCACACTTTCCCCTGCCCCTGCCCTTTCAGATGATCCTCTCAAAGTCCCTTGTGGTAGGCAGAGCTCATGTACAGATGGCTTAATTTTCTGTCAAGGGTGTTCCCATAATCAGGACGCCGAGGCTGTGTAGACACTGCTCCGTCTCATCAGGGATCTGAGGGCTAGTGACCCATGTGACGAGAAGGGACTGTCCCCTGCTTTTAGGTTTCTTACCCTTCCCTGTCATCAGTCCCCAGGGTCCATCCAGGCCCATCACCTGAGCCATGCAGCACTGTAGTATATTCCACAGCAGGCTGACAGCTGACCTCACCAGCCAAACAGACTATGTCTGGGTCACAAGGTCACAATCAAGTGAAAAGGAGAAGACGAGCTCAGGGAGATAGAGGCTGGCTGCAATACCTGGCAAAGTTCCAGGCTCTACTGGAAGAAAGGGAGTGTGTGTGTGTGTGTGTGTGTGTGAGAGAGAGAGAGACGGGGATGTGGGTCTGCTGAGGCCAGAGGAGAGCTCGTAGCTCCCTCTCTCATCTAGTGCCATTCATCTTATTCCCTTGAGGCAGAGTCTGTCACTGAACCTGGAGCTAGACTGACAGCTAGCACACTCCAGCAACCCTCCTGTTCCCATCCCCTTCCTGCTAGGGTTATTAGCACTTCAATCAAATCCCGGGTTTGTTTTGTTTTAAATATGGGTAGTGGGGATTTGAACTCTGGTCCTCATGATTATGCAGCAAACCACCTTTTTAAAAAAAAAAAAAAAAAAAAAGATTTATTTATTATGTATACAGTGGTCTGTCTGCATGTATGCCTGCATACCAAAAGAGGGTACCAGATGTCATTACAGATGGTTGTGAACCATCAAGTGGTTGCTGGGAATTGAACTCAGGACTTTTGGAAGCTGAAGCTGGTACTCTTATTAACCACTGAGCCATCTCTTCAGACCACCTTTTTTTTTTTACTTGTTTACTATGCATACAGTATTCTGTATGCATGCATACATGTTTACACACCAGAGGAGGGCACCAGATCTCATTACAGATGGTTTTGAGCCACCATGTAGGTGCTGGGAATTGAACTCAGAACCTCTGGAAGAGCAGCCAGTGCTCTTAACCACTGAGCCATCTCTCCAGCCCCACAGCAAACCATCTTAACCACCAAGCTTTTTTTTTTTTTTTTTTTAAAGAAAGTTAGTTTTGTTTGTTTTTGTTTTTCAAAACAGGGTTAAAAAAAAAAAAAGCTTGTTTTACATGTCAATCCCAGTTCCCCCTCTCTCCTGTCCTCCCCCTACCAACCCTCATCCCATCCTCTTTCTGCTCCCCAGGGAGGGTGAGGCCTTCCATGGGGAGTCTTCAAAGTCTGTCATATCATTTAGAGCAGGGCCCAGGCCCTCCCCCATGTGTCTAGGCTGAGGGAGTATCCCTCTATGTGGAATGGGCTCCCTAAGTCCATTCGTATACTAGGGATAAATACTGATCCACTACCAGAGGCCCCATAGACTGCCCAGTCCTCCTAACTAACACCCATAGTCAGGGAATCTGGGTCAGTCCTATGCTGATTTCCCAGCTATCAGACTGGGGTCCATGGGCTCCCCCTTGTTCAGGTCAGCAATTTCTGTGGGTCTCTCCATCCCAGTTGAGACAGGGTTTTGTAATGAATCTTTCTGTCTCACCAGACGGCTCCCAAATAATGACACGAGGCTTCTTATTAATTATGAAAGGTTGGCCTATAGCTTGATCCTAACTAGCTCTTATATGTTCCATTTCCTCTCTTCCATCTTGTACTTCCTGTTTCCTCTCCGTGCCTCCTCCCTTCTCCTTTGTGCCTAGCTAGATTCTCCTTTTCCTTTCTCTCCCTGGGAACCTTGCCTATACCTCTTTCCTGGCTATTGGCTATTCAGCTCTTTATTAAACCAATCAATCAGAAGGCGTCTTGGCAAAGACACATCTTCACAGTGTACAAATGTCCTGCAACAGGGTTTCTCTGTGTAGTCCTGGCTGTCCTGGAACTCACTCTGTAGACCAGGCTGGCCTTGAACTCAAGAGTTTCACCTGTCTGTACTGCGATCAAAGGAGTGCACCACCAGTTCTGGCTAAGGAAGGAAGGAGGGGAGGAAGGAAGTCTGTTTTGGTTTTTTGAGACAGGGTTTCTCTGTATTGTTTTGGAGGAAGAGAAGTCTTATATACAGCCCAGGCCTGCCTCAACTCACTAGCAGAGTATGACCAAGATTTATTTATTATTATGTGATGTGTGTTTACTTGCATGTATGTATGTGTGCATCATGTCTGTACCTGGTACCTTCAGAGGCCAGAGGAGGGCATCAGATCCCCTGGAACTGGAGTTACAGATGGTTGCCACCCATTCTATGGGGCTGGGAACTCAACCTGGGTCCTCTACAAGAGCACCAAGTGTTCCTCGATGCTGAGCTGTCTCTCCAGGCCCTGACCTTGAACTCTTGATTGTAGTTATTTTTCCACCACACCCTGTTTTAAGCAGAGCTGGGGACAAGCACTCCACCTGCTAAGCTACATTTCCCCTCCTTAGGAACTTGAATGCCTTTGGCTGGATTTCATTTCCTCCTGTTAGCAGGCCTGCCTCCTGCCCATCTGCCTCACTTCCCTCTTGTGTACTTTACTCCAGCAAACAGGTCAATTTCTGAACTTTGTGCTGTTCTTACCGGAGGGCCTTTGCATTTGCTGGGTACTGTTGCTGGATTTTGGCAGCTACATGGCATCTCCTCACGGTCTCTCTCTACCTACCTTTCCCAGAATTCTCCTAGTCTCCTAATCCTGTCTATCTTCCTGCTTTATTGGCCAAACAGTGTTTTATTCATCAACCAATAAGAGAAACACATATACAGAAGGACATCCCCCATCAGGGTACTGCCCAAGAATGTTCTTTATCTGCCTAGCCACTTCTCATCATTTAGGCTCTAACACATATCTCCACTCCTGACTACTGCCCCAATCCCCTGCAGTACTGGGGTGCTGGGTGCCCTAGGCACCTCTCTACCAGGCTCTGCCTGCTTTCTTCACTTGGTAAACAGCTAGTGACTCTTGCTATAAGACTCATTTCCAGTGGGAAACAAGATGAGGCTTCTGAAGTGGTTCTCCACACAAGTGCTGGGACCAGGCTGGGCTGGCCAGTGGCCTGGCGCTGCTGTCAGATGGACTGCAGCTGGAAGCTAGATTCCCTGGCCTGAGTGACGGGGCCTGTCTTGGGGAAGGTCACAGCTCGGTCACTGGGTTTGTGTTTATCTAAGTGGTCATCAATGACTCTGGGCATTCACTGTCCCGAGTTGATGGGGTTTGACTGCCTGGCTCGCTTTAGAGTGAGGTAACAGTCCAAAAGGGGTCATGGAAACTGAGTGACAGCGGTGAGAGTTTTCTTCCTTGGTCATTATTTATGGGAGGGTTGTCTGCAGCCTTCCCGCCAGGCATACTTACAAAAGAGCGGGGATAGCAGGCCTGAAGGGAGGGAAGGCTGACCAGTGTCTGTGCTTAGCTTGGCTGGTGAATGGAAGAATCCTATGGTTAGTCCTGCAAAGACAATGCGTAGTCAGCTTCTGTGGTAAATAGGACAGAGAGCACGGTACAGTGCCCCAAACCTGCAGAGGGCAGGCGGGTCTCAGTCCTGACGAGAGAACACTTGGCACTCACCTCTGACTTCAACCCTATCCTCTGAGTCCTTCCTTTTCTGCCTGGTGTCTAAGAGACAACGTGTAGAAGGTGGGACATACTGGGCCCATATAATCCCCATGGTATGTTAAAAAAGCCCTAATCCAGCGGCAGCCTCCCTGGTCATGTGTTGTTTTGAGTATCAGCCACTATAGCATCTTGCTTATTGGCCAGCAAGGGATTGGGGTGTCTGGCAGTCCCAGACTGGTGGGTTGGGAACCCCAGCACTAATCCTGCTGACTGTACCCCTCTGCTCCCCAGAGCCCACCGCAACGACATGGAGACTATCTACCCCTTCCTCTTCCTGGGCTTCATCTACTCCTTCCTGGGACCTGAACCTTTGATCGCCTGGATACATTTCCTTGTTGTCCTCACAGGCCGTGTGGTGCACACGGTAGCCTACCTGGGCAAGCTGAACCCACGAATCCGCTCGGGAGCTTATGTCCTGGCCCAGTTCGCCTGTGTTTCCATGGCTCTGCAGATTCTCTGGAAAGTGGTCCGCCATCTGTGACCAGTGACTGAAGCCCCTTCAACTATTACATTCTGGACAGAAGCCACTGAGGCTGAACTTGGGGACTTGGTGTTCCTTTTAGAACAGGGATGGGCTCTGGGGGTGTGTTTCTTAGCCTCATGGGATCTGGAGTGCCCAATTAGAACCACTTACATATGAGTTGTCAAGATCGACAGAACATCCTTGACCTCACAAAAGCCTTAAACACCACTCACTCCCTCTTGCCCCTTAAAACTGAAAGGATAGCCAGGTGGCGCACACCTTTGACCCCGGCATTTGGGAGGCAGAGGCAGGTGGATTTCTGTGAGTTGAAGGGCAGTCTGGTCTACAGAGCAGGTTCCAGGACAGCCAGGGCTACACGGAGAAACCCTACCTCGAAAAATGAGTCAACCAATCAACCAACCAGCTGAAAGGATAGGGGATTCTCTAACATAGCCATTGTTCCATCCAGGGCTAAAGACAAAGGCTTCCGGGACAGCCTAAAGAGAGACCCTGGCTAGTGTGTCCAGAAAGTCTTCACAAGAGGCCAGGTGTAGCCAGCTCCCTTTCAGGCTGTGGAGTTAGGGGACTTGCTATTTGTCAGAGGTGGGCAGGTGTGCATGTCCCTGTTGCCACCTCCCTGTCCTTTGTTCCAAGTGCCTTAGTTACTACAGGCTCAGTGATGGGGAGTGCTTGCCATGAGTTCTGCCTGCCTGGTCAAGGCCTTAGCTTCCCAAAGGCCATCAGTCTGGGGTGGGCTTTGTCTGACCAACCACTGAACGAGAACTGTGGGGTTTACCAGCATCTGTGATGTTTGAAGATACCAAATGTTCATGTGTGTGTGTGTGTGTGTGTATATGTGTTTACGCACGCGTGTGTGCGTGCGTGCGTGCGAGTGTGTGCGCACGATGTCTCTCTCCAGAATCCTCCTGAGACCTGTTCAGGGTACTCATTAAACAGCAATGTGTGACATGTGAATGCCACGTGGTCCCTACTTCCAATGTACATGCTGTCCCAGCTGGTCTGGTGCCTGCTGAGAATTTGGGGGATTTTGGTGTTGTATGTTTTGATTTTTTGAGACTGGATTTCACTTAGCCCAAGGTGGCCTCAAACTTACTATGAAGAAAAGGACAACCTTGAACTAACAGCCTGCCTGTACCTCCTAAGTGCTGGGATTATAGACTTGCACCACTACAGTGAGTTTGTTTCTGGGCCAAGCTAGCACAGACAACGTCAGGCTGCTCCAGGGAAGTCCCCTTCTTCAACAAGGAGATCCCTGATAAGCATCCAGAGATGTCCAGATCTTGTCCTACCAAGTGACCTTCCGTGCAGGTCTGCCACCTGTAGGATGCTGTTTTTCAATACAGCTGGAAACCACCTGGAAATATAGGCTTCTCCAGAACCTGGGACAGCCAGGCTCCCAAGCCCTGACTGCTTTCCCTCAAGGCTGCCTAGTGTCCCTACCCCTCTTCCCAACTCAAAGGGAGCCTGTGCCCCTCTATGAGAGATCTGCTCTATGAGTCCTTACTGGAAAGCCCAGCTAGCCTAGGCCTCAACCTTTCACACAGCGCCTGGGGGGGGGGGGGGTGGACAGCACTGCCCTCCGGTGGTGAGATGAAACCTTTGTTCTTGGAGTGCCCTCTGAGGAAAACCATACCATGCCCCGCCCCTCCTTTTGAGTGCCAGCTGTTTGCTGAGCATTAAGCTAGATGTGTCTCCATCTGTTGCTCTCCCCTACCCCATTTAATACTTAAAATAATTTTAAGAAGGAGGCATTTGTGCATTTTAGACACATCAGGCGAGTTCAGGTGGTATGGCCAAGACCATTTCTGCATTTTAATATTATGTATATGGGTGTTTTAGTATGAAGGTATGTCTGTATCATGTATGTGCCTGGTGCCCATGGAGGCCAGAATAGGGTGTGGGGTCCCCTGGAACTTCAGTTACAGACAGTTGTGAGCCACCGTGTGGGTGCTGGGAGTTGAACCCGAGTTCTCTGAACCACTAAGCCATCTATCCAGACCCATTTCAGCATTTTAGATGAGGGATTCAAGGGTCCTAGAAGAGAAATGACCTGAGTTCCTGAGCCAGGACAGGAGAGAACTCTGCAAGGTAGGGACCAGGAGGGATGGGGGCCAGGTGGACATCTGTCCATTCTGTTTTCCCTTTTGGGGAAAGTGGGCTTGTGAGGGCCAGGTGTCCCAGTAAGGACCTGCAGTTGCCTGTTGCAGGAACACGCATCACCCAGGGTGACTGCATGGTCTGGGGTCTGGGTGACGGAGCAGGCCCACTGCAGCAAGGATGATGACAGCCCCACAGGGGGTAAGGCTGGGAGTCTTACCCTGATCCCTGCTGGGATAGTGATGCTGAGGTCCAATGTAGAGGTGAGCACGCTGACACTGCCCAGGAAATGTGAAGAAATACAATTGGACCTGGTGTGGCAGCACATACCTTTAATCTCAGACAGAGGCAAGAATCTCTTGAGTTGGAGGCCAGCCTAATCTACAAAGTGAGACCTTGTCCCAAAAACAAGACCAAGAAATCCAACTGTGAGGGTGGGAAGAAGTCAGCCCCAGTGTGCTGTGGTGTGAAGTTGGGGTTGGAGAGAAATCAGGGTCAGAGGCTCTAAGGTGGCCAGGGAGAACACATGGCGGGATGGATACAGGCAAGTGGGCTGGGCGGGCCCTTAAATGACCCTTACTGTCCAAATGGCTTGGGCAGTGAGTGTCCTAGCTATGCTCAAGAGTAAGAGAGGTAGGGACAGTGGCTCCAGCAGGGAGGGTGTCACTGGGCCCAGTGGCTTGTTCTGTTCCAGTCCTCATGGCATGGAATGCAGGGCCTAGTCTCCTGGCTGCAAGTCTGGGCTCGAGAGACAGGCTCCAGCCTGTACTACACTACAGCAGGTGCACTGCCCGGGAAGGAGGCTTGGCCAGTCCCACCAGCTGCACCAGCCAGGTGTGGCAGCACACAACGCCTGCAGACCCTCCCAACCCTGGTGCCACACCAGCAACTCTGCTGTCTTCTTCCCGGCCTGGTCTCTTGTCTGAAGACATCCGTTTCCCTAAACTCCACCCAGGTAGGACCATCCCTCCTCACCCTTGGATCACACACGAGGTCCTGGGGTGGAGGGGACTGAGCAGGAGCCTGGAGCCCTAGAGTCCCAGACATAGGAGTTGGGCAAGGACTGGATGGGCCTCTAGGAGCCTGGGAAGCTAGAGCTGTCCCTAGTTGATGCCAGTGTCTTGGGGACATTCCCTAACCTCTAAGTAAACAGGGGAGGCCAGGGCCAAGACAGAGTTCATATAAACTCAAGGGCCGGTAGCCAGCTGTAATCTTTTTAAAACTCTGCATGTATGTATTCTTTGTGTGTATACGTGGGCACACATGTGGAGGCTAGAAGGTGACCCCAGAGTAAGTTCTCTTTGTGGGTACAGGGACTGAGCCGAGATCGTTAGGCAACAAGTGCCTTTACCTGATGAGTTATCTTGCTGGCCCCTGCAATCTGTAGCTCGCACTCTGTAGACTAGGCTGGCCATGAATTTGCCTGATTTCTGAGATTGCAAACATGTGGCAATGACATTAAATTTAGTATCACCCTGCCATTCCACCTCCTTGGACACTCAGTCAGCCTGGTGGTTGGGCAATTAATTTCCCAGGGCATGTGCTTGCCCAGGTATCTTCACGCATCAATCCCTACTGGAATCACAAGCTAGTACCACCACACCAGCTCACATCTATTTCCTTTTGGTCTCATCTTGTAGCACAGAGTAACCTGTAACTCACCATGTTGCCTATGTAAGCCTAGAACTCAGTATAGGCCAGGGTGGCCTCAAAATCAAACAGCCAGGCATGGTGGCACACATCATTAATCCCAGCACTCAGGAGGCAGAGACAGGTGGATCACTACAAGTTTGAGGCCAGCCTGGTCTATGTATGCAGTGAGACCCTGTAACAAACAAAAAACTGTACAGTCTCATGTTTTAGCCTAAGCTTGCCTGCAGATTTAGGCAATCCACTTGCCTCGGCCTCCTAAACCTGGAGATTACAAGTGTGATAGCCTTTTGGTTTTTTTAGGTTTATTTATTTTATTCTGTGTATTGTGAGTGTTTTGCCTATGTGAATGTGTGTGTGCTAGGGGGTATGTCTGGTGACCTCCAATGTCAGAAGAGGGCATCAGATCCTCTGGGACTAGTTTCAGGTGACTGTGAGCCACTATGTGGGTACTGAGGACCAAACCTGGGTCCTCTGCAAGAGCAGCCAGCACTCTTAATGGCTGAAGCCATCTCTCTAGTCCCAGAAATCTTTGTTGTTGTTGTTGTTGTTTTAAAATCAAAGGTAGTTAGCAAAGCAAGGACTCACATTCCTGAATCTTCCCTTCCCCAGTCTCTTCCTCAAGATTAACCAGTCACATCAGATTGTGAGGTTGTGCTCCCGCCAATGGGATGAGATGCAGCCACTGCCTACATCCAAGATAAAGGCAGCCATGTTGGCTTGGTTGTGTTGATAGCCTGCCTGGTTTGGGTTCTGGTTCATTCTTTTTGCAAAATGAATTGCATGGCTGAGATACTTTGGTTTTATTTGTGTGTGTTCCTTTGTGCCACACTGGGATTATTTCTAATGCAGGTAACAATCACCATACCCAGGCTTTAAAATCTATTTTTGAAGCTTAAGATACCTACGAGCATTCTAAAAGGATGCTAATCAGGATAGAATACATATTTTTAAAGTTTTTTTCATCTTTGTCTCTGGGAAATTTACAAGGATATATGGAAAGGAGGAAGACCACCCACATCCTGCCTCCCACAGGAAAGCACCAATCAAATCACATGATGGTTTTTTACCCCCCCTCCCTTTTTGTAGTTATTGATGATTGACTTTGGAGGCTCAGCCCACTGTGGGTGGTGCCACCCCCTTGGCAGAGTACAGGCATCAATAAGCAGTACTCCTCTATGAACTCTAGCTCAGACCCTGGCCCCAGGTTCCTGCCTTGAGTTCCTGCCCAGACTTCCCTTCTTGACTGTAAGCTATAAAGTAAACCCTTTCCTCCCTAAGTCACTTTTGGTCATGGTATTTATGCATGGAGGTTTTTTTGTTTTGTTTTGTTGCTTTTTTTTTTTTTTT